GGCCGCTCGGCAGCCCTGGGAAATCCCACCGGGGTTCTCCAGTTAACGCGCTGTCCCGTGCAACTATTTCCAGTATTCCCTGCTTGCCTCAGTCCTCCAGCCTCCCACTTGACTGGGGAAGCAGAAAGCCTCCACGAGGAACTTGCCTGCTCCCGGCACAGAAATGTAAACTCCCATCTGCCACTGGCCTTTCTGTCTCCCTCAGTGGAATAGCTCTTCCTTCTACCTCAAACCGTTGCCCTGGGTTTTAGGGCCGTCTTCTCACATCCCTTAGGACATTGGTGACTAACCCTTCTTGCTCATATTCTCAATGCCTTCACTTTAAAAAAAATTTTTTTTAATGTTTATTATTTTTTCATAGAGAGCATGAGAAGGGCAGAGAGAGAGGGAGTCAGAGGATCCCAAGCAGGCTCTACACAGTCAGCACAGAGCCCGACGAGGGGCTCGAACTCACAAACCTGAGCCGAAGCTGGACGCTCAACCGCCTGAGCCACCCAGGTGCCCCTGAATCCCTCCACTTTTTTAGATGCACCCAGTTTTCTGTGACTCACAAGCAAACAGAGGCATCTGGCTGGCTCAGTCAGTAGAGCATGTGACTCTTGATCTTGGAATTGTGAGTTCCAGCCCCGTATTAGGCATAGAGATTACTTAAAAACGTTTGAAAAACAGAATAATAAAAACAAGTAATTCAACAATACCCTTATCTGATCCCTCACCCCCTGTGGCCCTAGTCTCTTGCTGCCTGCCTCTCAGCCAAGCTTCTTGGAAAAGTCTGTGTCCTTCCTGCCTCTTCACCACCTGCCAGACTTTCAGCCCCACTTCCGAGTCAACTCACCAGCAGAACTTTTAGTTCTCGTCTTATTTGAACAGTTCTTGGTATATTTCCTTCTGGAAACTGCCTTCCCATGACTTCTGTGACACCACTCTCCTTTTTTCCTTCTGTTCTCATCTGCTTCCACCTGGCTGGTCCGTGGTGGACGTGCCATCGGTGCTCATAGGTTTCATCCTCTGGACTCGGTGAGCCTTATCCTCCATGAGTCTCCGTGACGCTTATCCTCTATGGAGTCAGGATGGTGGTGCTGCTTCTGCTTCCCTTCCTCTTCCCCCTCCTCCCCCTCCTCCTTTTTTTCTTAGTAGGTTTTTGTTGTTGTTTAGTTTTTTAAAATGTTTTATTTATTTTGAGAGAAAGAGATAGGGCATGAGCAGCGGAGGAGCAGAGATAGAGGGAGGGAGAGAGAATCCCAAGCAGGCTACGCACTGTCCTTGCAGAGGTTGACGTGGGGCTCGAACCCTTGAACCATGAGATCATGACCTGAGCTGAAACCAAGAGTTGGATGCTTAAATGACTGAGTCACCTGGGTGCCTTGTAGTGACTTCTAGTGTGAGATCTCCTGTCCAGGCTTCACCTCAGAGCTCCAGACGAGTGCATCCCGCCCTTTCCATACTGTCTCTTGCTCATGAAATCCAAGGGCACCTCAACAGGATCAAAGTGTCTAGAACCTCCATCCTGGCCCTCTTCCAGCACTCCCATCTTTGTGACTTGAACCAGCATCAGTCCAGATGCCCTCAGCAGAAACTCTCGTGTCATTTTGGTCATCGTCTTCTGCCTCAGCCACCATATCCAGTCCATCAGTAAATCCCTGGGGATTTTACCTCTTAAATTTTTCTCAGATCCGCCCACTTCCCCCGACTCTACTTCTGCATTCCTGCTCCAGAATACCATCCTCTCTTGCCTGCACGATTTGTGTGGTCAGCCTGCCTCTGCTCCGGCCCCTCTGTCTGTTCCCACACTGCCAGATCAGTCTTTTTACAGTGAACATCTGACTGTATCAGCCCCGTGCTTAAATCCTTTGCATTGCTCTTAGGATAAGGATGAAGAATCTCAACGTGGCTTCCGGCAGGGCTGACCCCTTCCTGACCCACCAGCCCTGCTCTGCAGCTGTCCCCTTGCACCTCTGGCACCTGGACAAAGGTTTTACCTGTGTGTCTTCTGTTCCCTTCAGACCTCCACATGACAGCATCTTCAGGGATGTGTTCCCTTCACAATGTCCTGTTTGTATCAGGTCTCTGGTCCCCCTGCCCCCATGCCTGGGTCAGACTGCTCTGCCCCAGACCCTGGGAGTCCTCTGCTCCTCCCTTCGTTCCCTTTGGGTCAGGCACGTCTTCACTTTTGTCAGTGTGGGGGGGTTGGTTCCTGTCGCTTCCTCACTAGACCATAAGCCCCGTGAAGCAGGAGAGCAGCAGAGGATAGGAAATACAGAAATGAGAATTTCATGATAAAATATTACTGATCGGGGGCGCCTGGGTGGCTCAGTCAGTTAAGCATCCCGCCTCTCAGTTTCTGCTCAGGTCATGATCCCGTGGTTTGTGAGTTCGAGGCCCGTGTAGGGCTCTGCACTGACAGTGTGGGGCCTGCTTGGGATTTTCTCTTTATCCCCCTCTCTCTGCCCCTTCCTTGCTTATGTGTGCACATGCGTTCTCTGCCCCCGCCCCAATCTCTCAAAAATAAATAAACATTTTTTAAAAATTAAAAAAACATTGGGATGCCTGGGTGGCTCAGTCAGTTGAGCGACCAACTTCGGCTCAGGTCATGATCTCACAGTTTATGGGTTCAAGCCCCGCATCGGGCTCTGTGCTGACAGCTCGGAGCCTGGAGCCTGCTTCAGATTCTGTGTCTCCTTCTATCTCTGCCCCCCCCCCCCAACTCATGCTCTGCCTCTCTCTGTCTCAGAAATAAATAAACATTACTTTTTTTTTTAATTAAAAAAATTCGGGGCGCCTAGGTGGCTTAGTTGGTTAAGTGTCCAATTTCAGCTCTGGTCACAATCTTACAGTTGGTGGGTTCGAGCCCCATGTTGGACTCTGTGCTGACAGCTCACAGCCTGGAGCCTGCTTCAGATTCCTGCTTCCTGTGTTCCTTCTCTGCCCTCCCTCTCTCTCTCTCTCCCTCTCAAAAGTAAATAAACCTTAAAAAATTTTTTTAATTAAACAAAATCTTACTTATTTGAAAAGGTGATGGGGGAAGAGTAACCTAAATAAGCAGAGACTTAAAATTTTTAGTTTTTGCATTATAAGAATTCTTAGTGCTCAATTTAAGGCTAATTTGAATAATGGAGAAAGGCAGAAGACAGGAAGTCGCTCATCTTCCAACCTCCCAAACACATTTTCCCACGTACTTAAATATTCACCAAGAATATAATTTTTAATGCCTGCATGATAATGTGTCATATAAATGTAGACTTATTTTATTTCATTTCATTTATTACTGTAAAAATTTTTTTACTATCAGCAATGCTAATCACAACATTTTTATTTTACATAAATCTTTGTGCATAAATGTATGATTTACCAAAGTTGCATCACTGGATGAAAGAATATGTGTGGGAGCCTTTTTTTAGGCTTTAGATAATTATTCGTAATTATTCCTTAATTAGTCTCCAGAAACATACCAATTCATTTATTCGCCAATAGAGGTAAGACAGTGTACATTTTCTGCTACCTTTGCTAAATCTGAGAATTATAAAATGCAAATGTGTGCATACATAGAGGCATATCTAGATGCAAATGTAATGGGCAGAAGGGGTATTTGATGATTCAGACTTGTTTGTAGGGTGAATCACTCCTGAATTTGAACATTTTCCCATTAGCCATTGTTTGTCATTTAGCTGTTATTCTTTGCATAGTTTGGGAGTATTTGGTTTTTCTTATTATAAATCCTCTTTATATTAGGCACATTAACCTTGCTTTTGTCATACATGCAAATATGAGCTTCAGTAGAACCCTTTTCAAATGACCAGGAATTGAGAGAAAAGCATGTGTGAAATGGGATAATACGGTTAAATTATGTTTTATCAAGAAGGGCAGCTGGTTTCTCTCTCTCTCTCTCTCTTTTAATCTTGCCCCCTAAACTGCACGTGTGTGAAGAGTCTGGCCCTTGAAGCTGGATATACCTGGCTTCAGGCCTGGCTCTGCCAGCCCAGGACAAATTACTGGTCCCTACAAGTCTCAGGTTACTCTCCTGGGCAGCAGAAATCCTTCTGACCTTGTCAGAAGGTGAAGAGTGGGGTGCCTGGGTGGCTCAGTCGGTTGCTTGGCTGACTTTGGTTCATGTCATGATCTCGTGGTCTGTGAGTTCAAACCACAGGTCAGGCTCTGTGCTGACAGCTCAGAGCCTGCAACCTGCTTCGGATTCTGTGTCTCTCTCTCTCTCTGCACCTCCCCTGCTCATACTCTATCTCTGTCTCTCAAAAATACACATTAAAAAAAAATTTTTTTAAAGAGGTAAAAGCTTATGGAGAGTACCCAGTGCAGAGGTAATATTCTAAACATCCCTTCCCATATCCCTCAAAGACATGCTGTTCTGTAACTGTTCTGTAAATGCGTGTATGTACACGTATTTTGTTTCATTAAGGAGCTTGCATATTTCACTCAGCTTGTAGCCACACATGCAATCGTGCATCCGTGTTTGCTGAGTGGCTAGCTTTGGTGGAACACTGCGGATGACAGGAGACACATTCATAGTTAACCATTTGAGTCTGGGAGAGATTGTAGCTTTGAAGCTCAGGGATAATGCCAGCAAATTTGAATCTGTACTATAAAAGCGGTCAGTGATGGAAGATACGCCGTCCTGCAGAGAATAGGAACAGACAGTCTCGAATACTCAAAAAGTATTTTAATTTTATTTATTTATTTTTTTTTTCAACGTTTATTTATTTTTGGGACAGAGAGAGACAGAGCATGAATGGGGAAGGGGCAGAGAGAGAGGGAGACACAGAATCGGAAACAGGCTCCAGGCTCTGAGCCATCAGCCCAGAGCCCGACGCGGGGCTCGAACTCCCGGACCGCGAGATTGTGACCTGGCTGAAGTCGGACGCTTAACCGACTGCGCCACCCAGGCGCCCCCCAAAAAGTATTTTGATTTTAAACAGCTCCAAGTCAAGCCTCCAAATACTTGCATCCTTTCGTTGAGAATTTGTCTCAATCTGTTTTTTCCTTTGTAGGTGTGGCTGGATCTCTTAAAACCTATTGTCAAGCAGATTAGAAGTAAGTATACACCATGTGTTTAACAGTGATGTTAAATATAAAGCCAGACATTTTCCTCCTAGACGTTGTTTGCCCTGTGGCATCCAGCACACTGGTGACACAGATTCTTTTTTTTTTTTTTTTTTTTTTTTTTTTTTTTTTTGGCCCCATGATTTCTTTTCATCCACTAATCCATGTGCCATTAAAATGTCTCTTCTGCAGTATTAATATTTAACAATTTGGTAATCAAAACCTTGCTTGGAAAATCAAACCTCATTTTGATTAACGACTAGAGCATGCTGTTAATCTCCAGACTAATTGAGCTTGCCTGGTCTCTGTCCGAGGTTGTTACTGTCACTTTTGAAGGGGAAGGTGCAACCATGTATTCATAAAATTGATGTTAGGTTTTCTGTCCTGCCTCTTCAATGCCTGTGAAATCAGAGTGCAAGTATTGGTTGCTTGGAAAAATAAAGTGCCTGAAAGCGTGTGTGTGTGTGTGTGTGTGTCTGAATGGCAGGCAGAACTGAAGGGAATCTGGCTTGCATTTACAGTGTGTGTTGGGGAAGATTAAGGAGGATTTAGGAGAGGAGTGAGGGAAGAAGGCTCGCTTTCTCTGTCCCTTCTCATTGTGCCCCAGGACCAGGACCGTTTCCCTCCTCTCCACTTTGAGGTCAAGCGCAGAGTCAGACAACTCATCCCAAATGCCTCCTCACTGCAGCCACAGCCCGGGCAAAAGTCTGAGGGTAGTAACAGAGGTGCATTCCATTAGTTGAGCTTGGAGCTCCGCACTACCTTGCTGGGATCGTTTTAATGTCTGATTAAGAAGCCCCACTGGGCCACTTCTAGCAATTTTTGTGGCTGTACTGAACAGGCACACGGTGTCTGGATGGCCCCCGTGCACTTGAAATGGATGTTGAGCTTCTGTCATTTAAATTAAGCAATTATTGATGCCGAAAATGAAACCGGCATTGTTTGTTTAACATTTACGAGGGTGGCTGGCCAGTGACCTGAGCGTGCGGGGGCCGGAGGGTAGGGGCACAATGCTGGGAGAAGCCCCTAGGCCTGACGGGGGAGGTAGCGAAGCATCCAGAATGATGACGTGTATCCCTGCAATACCTCCTGGGAAGTGCTCACTGTGGCAAGGTGTCTTTTAGCCCGTTGCCAAATACAGACGGAAGACCGTGTCTGTCACTGCTGGGTCCACCCTGGAGTGAGGATTCTCCTTCCGTCTCCGCGTGCTATGGCTAGCTGTGTGAAGCTGTCATTGTGCATTGGGGGATAGCACCTTCCTACTTTAGGGTTTTCTAAGGATCTGCGTGGCCTCAGGGGATCCCCGTGGAGAGGAGATAGCATGGTTTTTCCTGTTCTTCCCCATTTTGCTATTGTTACTTTATGATCCAGAGTTGACAGGCGAGGGTTTCTATTAATTGTTAGAGTGAGTGGTCAGGGAAAGGGGGCCCAGTGTCTCCGGGCTTCATTATTTCTGTGCCTTGTTTTTCTCCTCATTTTGTATATATGGCCTACATCTTCACCTTCTGTTGCTTTTGCGTTTTTTTCGTAAACTTAAATATGTTATCATAGAAATGATAATACAACATCTGTTTTTTGTGACAGCGAAGGCAGAGCAAAAAAAATTTTTTTCTGCTTTTAGACAACTGCTGTTAAAATTTGATTTCGTTATCATACCTTATATTTCATAGAACATAACCTCATTGCTGTCATTCCAAATGGTAGAACCTACAAGACTGCTCTTCCATTGAGCATAAATATATATGTGTGTAGATATATGTATAAAATTTGATCTGTACCTCAAAACAAGCTCTGATTCGGGTTACAAATTATTATGATCTGTTTGACATTTTAATTCTGACAAGTGACCCATCCCATTGATCTTCTCCCTGTCCACCCACCCCACATCTGCTTCCTGATTTTGCCTGAACTCGTCCGTAAGATGGCTTATAAGACACCTATAAGGGCTTCGGCTGACTGGACGAGGGCAGGGTCACGTCGTGTTGATGTTTTTTTCTCCAGCGCTCGGGGAGCACCTGACACATAGATGCTCATACATATTTGATGAACACAGTGGAAGCTGTACCTTGTAGATCATTTAAAGTACTAAATTGTATAACCGATTTACGTTTTCATTATTTCCTCGTTGTCGAAAGCCCATATTTTGACTGAAAGGGCCAATTTGATAAATTTTTGAAGACGAATGCCTGTTTTTAAAATCCGGGCACAGTTTAAGTCCTCAGAGAAAAAATGTAATACCTGAATGAAATACTTTTGTCAAAACGTTATTTTATAAGGGCTCTCTGTCTCCCTGCAATATGGAAGTATGAATTAGGAACTGAACTACCTGTTCAGCGACCTGGGCGTCAACAGATGGACTCTTGGTGGCTTGGAATGAGATCCATTATTTGCTGTATAATATACCTTCCGAAGTCTTTTTCTTTAATTGCATTTGGAACAAATCAAAAATGCTCTGTTTTTTGCCCCCTTTTAGGGCCAAAGCATGTTGTTGTGAAGTTTGTGGTGAAATTCTTTCCACCTGACCACACACAACTCCAGGAAGAACTCACAAGGTTAGTGGCTTAGAAACTTGCTCTTTATTGCCACGGGGTGCCAAGGAGAAGGGAAAGTTAATGTTCTCCGTCCACTGATTCAGCATTTTCACAGCGTTTACCTGACCCGCATCTGCTCCGTGCTCCCGATGGTGCTGACCAACATGGGGAGAAAGAATGTACCACATTTTCCTTGAATCCTGGGTTTCTGCAAAGCTGTGCTGTGAACTGGTCTTATAACCTATTGCTGTCATATTTCCCTTCTTCTGTCTGTCACATCACGAGACAGTTTGGGGAAGTCAGACCCTGTGAGACCAAGATGTTAACTCCGTTTCTCTCTGTCGCTGCCATGGGTGACTGGACGTGAGCTGAAGATCGATTTCTTTGAAAGTTGGCCTAAGTGGGAGAAGCGTGAGCACGGAGTCAGGCCTGCCCTTGTCCCTGTGTGACTGGCCAATTTACTTGTTCCCTCTGCGCTTCTGCTAATTCCCCTGTGTCCGTGCGACCACGCTGGTTGCTTGGCCACGGTTGTTTTGAGGATAAGCAGTCGTATACATAAAGTGGCCAGAACCAGTAGGGATGCTCTGAATGATAACCATCATCACCCTTATTATTACCAATTTTATAATTTGCACAAGACGCACATATGCTAAAGGAGAACAGAGTCTGGTGGGAATGTGTGAACACGCAATGCCTCCCTTTCAAGAGTGCTCTTACAAGTGGTACATTAGTCTGACCAGCCACAGCCCTGCCACCTGTGGCTTTTTTTTTTTTAATGTTTGTTTATTATTTTTGAGAGAGAGAGAGAGCACAAGCAGGGGAGAGGCAGAGAGAGAGGAAGGCACAGAATCTGAAGCAGGCTCCAGGCTCTGAGCTGTCAGCACAGAGCCCGACGTGGGGCTCGAACTCAAAGACTATGAGCTCATGACCCGAGCCTAAGTCGGACACTCAACCGACTGAGCCACACAGGCGCCCCGTGGCTTTCAGTCTCGTAGCTGATTAGACCAAGCCTGTCACATCCTTCTCCGCACTCTTGGTACAGAGCACAGGATCTTGGATACTGTGGGTGGTTGACCATCATTTAGCAAAGGGGTGAAGCCATTCAGTCAGCAGTACTTACAAAGTGGACACTGTGTGCAAAGCACGGTTCCAGGCACCGGGAACGTAGTGGTGAAAAGACAAGCCTGACCCTCAGGGGAGCAGACAAGATGACAGATGAAGCAAAAACTATCAGATAACAGTAAGGGCTCTATGGGTAACTGAAGGAGAAGGATGTGATAGAAGGTGACCAGGGCACCGCTTGTGATGGCTCAGTCTGCGGTGCCTCTCTGAGGAAGGGACGAGAATCTGTCCCTCCTTTTTGGAGGAAGAGCTTTCCAGGTAGAAGGAACAGCTGGGCAGTGACTGAGGCAGGAACAAGTTCCAGATGTTCAATACAGTTGACCCTTGAACGACATAGCTTTGAACTGCACACATCCACTTACATGCAGATTTTTTTATGTAGATACAACACAAGGACTGTGAATGTATTTTGTCTTCCTTAGGGTTTTCTTCATCATGTTTCTTTAGCCCACTTTATCATAAGAATACAGTGTACAGTACATAGAACTTACAAAATACGTGTTAATCGTGTTTGTTATTGGCAAGCCTTCTAGTCAACAGTAGTTACGTTTTGGGGAAGTCAACAGTTATATGCCGATTTCTGACTGTGCAGGGGGCTGGAGCCCTAATCTCTGTGTTGTTCAAGGCTCAAACTGTACCTAAGAGAAGGCTGGCATGGCAGGAATGGAGAGGGTGAAGTGCAGTGAGGTGGGACAGAGGCCAAATGTTTCATGGGGTTGAAAGTCTAGCTGCCATGTGGGTTCTGGGGGACAGTGACAGCTGGGAATCCAGTGAGGTAGCCATTGCTGTTGTCCACGCCACAGTGGTGGCAGCAAAGGAGGTGGCAAGTGTGGAAGCAGAGAAGGGTGGCTGCAAATGCTGGACTACGTGCTGGGGACGGGGTCCATCTGTCGTGGTGACGGGCTGGCGGTGGAGGCCGAGGAGACAGAGGGATGCTTAGATGTTGATTTAAGCAGCTGGCTGGCCATTTTGGTGGCAACTAAAATGGGAAAGGGTGGAGGGAAGTAGGTGATGACTGAGGGGTGGAGAGTCGGGAGGTTGGTTCTGCCGGCTTATGTCTGAGATGCCAACCAGACATCGCGTGGCGGTGTCCGGAAGGGCACTGGGGACACGAATGTGGAGTTCCAGGAAGAAGTGAAGGCCACGTCTTCCCGTGGCTTTCAGTTTCTGAATGATTTGCTGCTAATTGTTTCCCTCTACTTATAATCCTCAAATCGATGAAGCTGTTATGTAGCCCGGGATTGCAGGAGCCAGCAGCCTTTTGGGAAGCATGCACGGTTGACTAGAACGGTTCACGTAGAGGAGACACAGCTGGGCTGCTACACCAGGATGCATAAGACAGGCCAGTGACAACAGAGTCTTCTGTGGTGTCACTGCTGGGGCTACCGTGTCTCTGTTTCTGGGCTGGGTTTCTTCTCATTGTAACGTGTATTGCTTGAAGCTCAGACTATTGACATAAATCTAAAGGCAAGTCCAGCTGTTGGTCAACAGCCTGCCTTTGCATCCTGCATGTCACTGGGCCTCTGTCCTGCTTATGAAGTTGGCATAAATCCTTTTTTCCCCGTCTCCATTCCACTTTGCTTTGAGTTTTGCACCTTTTCAATTCTTGTGAATCATTGTCTGCAGAGGCTTGTAGTTTTCTTTTTTATGTGTGTATGTGTTCGTTTATTTTTGAGAGAGAGACAGCACGAGCAGGGGAGGGGCGGAGAGAGAGGGAGACAGACACAGAATGTGAAGCACACTCCAGGCTCTGAGCTGTCAGCACACAGCCTGACACAGGGCTGGAACTCACGAACCGCGAGATCGTGACCTGAGCCAAAGTCAGACGCTTAACGGACTGAGCCACCCAGGCGCCCCGTGGTTTTCTACTATTCGGGTTTTTCTTCTAAAATTCCATACTGCTTGTGGCCATTGAGCCAAGTGTGCCCGGGATATTGCCGGCTGCTCGGTGGAATCTGTCAATTCCTCAGGGAACCCGGGCTCAACGGATGGATTGTTTAGGGTTGTGTTGTTGTCTTTATTTTCTGGCTCCCGGTGTTAACTGACATTTTAAAAATCTTTTCCAAGGAGAGAATCCTTTTGGTACAAGGGCGAATGAAATTGATATGAAACTTAGAAGCTCCCCATCGCTTTTGACTTTGTCACGAGGTGTGGTGGGATTGGGGACCTTCCAGATCCGATGTGTTGCCTCCCTCATTCTCAAATTCCCGTGTAAGCAGAAATTGAATGATGTGACCTTTGAGGTCCAGGCACTTTCCTGTAGCAGATGGGGAGCGCAGGAGGGCTTGGGAGAAGCTCTGTGTGGACAGCAGTTCAGGCGAGGGATGTGGGGACAGAGGCAGGCCTACAGTTCAGCCTACTAAAAGGGACTCTAGCTCTCTGGTTAATTCTTGGGGCCTCAGGAATAGCTTTCAGCTTCCCGCTTGTACAAAAAGCAGATTGAATTGCACTTTGCTGTTAACCAAGAAGCTGAATTCCTTTCTATTTATTGAACTGCACTTTCAGCGGCTGTTGTGTCCTATTGCTGCTAGGGCCTGGGCCTCTAGAGGGAGAGAAAAGTAGTGAGTGGTGGGTGCGGGTTTTAAACAGCTAGGGAGGGGTCTTCGGAAAAGAACTCGCCACATTTTCTCATCGCAGAGTTCCGAGTCACTCTTGTTGGGCTATAGGGCTTTGGTACACTTTGCTCTGGGCATGTGATCTTCAGTAGGATCCCATTTCTCCTTGGCTCTGCCCTTTCTAAGGGTGGAGAGAGACCTCTGAGAACTTGCAGTGTTTGCAAGGCCCGAGGTGGTTCCTCAGGCTGGCAGAGAAATTGTAAGTTACTTTCCATTGAATACGAAAAGAAAGGCTAAGACCTCCCAGGCTAAGACAAAACAAATTAAAATAGACCCATTTAAAGCAAGGCATCAGATTGGTGTGATTTGTAACTCTGATGATCCCTGGAAACCAAAAGCCAAAAGCCCTCTTCGTTAGCCCTGGCACCATCATCCCTGTCTCCTGACACCCACCCTTGTGCCGGGGACTGACTCTGCTTTGAGCGCTTTGCATTTTCAGCATTCACTCAGTTAATTGTATTTAGTGCCTGCTGAGTTCAACCTAGCCTTTAGCTCCTGTGTGTTTGATGGGGATTGTTTCCGTTTATAATACGAAAGGTGTTGCTGAATCTCTGAAGTTAGCATCGAAGCCAGCTTGCTCAAGATTTATAGCTGTCATTAGGAAGTGAACAGTCAGTACCCAGGAAGGTCTCCCTTGTATTACAGGGGCCTCTGAACAGGGACACTCCGCGTGATTCGGGACTGCAGGCTCACTGCGGTCTTCAAAATGCCACTTCCCCTGTGCCTAAATGTGTGGGCTTTCAGAACCGCTGCTGACTGAGAGTCTACATGAGCCCATCAGCCAAAGTCCCCAGAGCCTGTCAGACTCTGACCATTGATCCGTCCCTGAACGCTTCTCCGCAAACACAAGACCCTGTGTTTGAACTGGTGGATGGTAAAATATTCACAGTGTGATGCTTTTATGCCGCCTACTTAAAAATTAACCAGATAGAAGATTAAAGCCTGTAGCTGTAAGAAGTGTTCAGCTCAAAAAATAGTACTCCTTGCCTAATCCAGAAAGATGGCTTATACTGCCTCTTGCCTTGTAAACCAATATGTTGATGTTTTGGTTCTTTTATATTCTCTGCCTGTCTTCCCTTTGACTTTCCAGAGACAGAGAACGTGAGAGCAAGAATAAATATAAGGGGCTGGGTAAAGGCCAACGGTTATCGACGAGTGGATCTGTGGGGTTTTTTTGTTTGGGGTTTTTTTTGTGGGTCTGGCTACAGAATTGCCTTTGTAGCTTTCGTAGGTTTTTTTGTTTGTTTGTTCTTGAGGTTGTTTTGTTTTGTTTTGTTTTAGTTTTTTAGTTAACAATGGAATTTCTTAAATAACTTAAAGAGAATTCATTTTTCTTTTTCTTCTTTCTTTTTTTTTAAATGTTTATTTTTGAGAGAGAGACCGAGACAGAGCACAAGTGGGGGAGGTGCAGAGAGAGAAGGAGACACAGAATCCGAAGCAGGCTCCAGGCTCTGAGCTGTCAGCACAGAGCCTGATGAGGAGCTCAAACTCACGGACCGCCAGATCATGACCTAAGCCGAAGTCAGATGCTTTACGGACTGAGCCACCCAGGGACCCCTTTTTCTTTTTATTTTATTTATTTATGTTTTTAATTAAGTAAGCTCTATACCCAACGTGGGGCTTGAACTCACAACCCTAAGATCAAAAGTCCCATGCTCTACCAGCTGATCCAGCCAGGTGCCCCTAGTTTTTCTTTTATAAGAGAAAATTTGCTAACATTATTGAATGTTTTTTTTTAGTCACTGTGCTTTCCATGTGTTACTTTATTTAATTTTTATAGAACCCTCTGTGGTTGGTCTAATTAAAAAAGCGCCCCCCCTTTTTAAAATTACAAATAACCTTTCATTATTACAAAAATAGCAAATGTACAGTATAGAAAGTTAGAACATACAGATAAACAAGTATAAGAAGATAAAATACTGTATTCCTGTTCCCCAGAGGTGATCATTGTTAATACATTAGTGTGATATCCTTTCTGATTTTTTCTACACATATATATGTACTTTTCATTTCATCTAATATCTTGGCCATACTCAAATTTGTCCCATAAATGTCATTTGTATGTACTCATCTAAAATGACATTCATGAGGCACCTGGGTGGCTCAGTCGGTTAAGCGTCTAAGGCTCAGGTCATGATCTCACTGTTTATGGGTTCAAGTCCTGCATCAGGCTCCATTCTGATAGCTTGGAGCCTGGAGCCTGCTTCAGATTCTGTGTCTCTTTCTCTCTCTTCCCCTCCCCTGCTCGTGCTCAATCTCTCTCTCTCTCTCCCCCTCCCTCCCTCCCTCTCCCCAAAATAAAAATAAACATTAAAAAATAAAATGAGATTCACTGTAGGCCATAGTCACACTTGGTTATGTCCTTTGGACCTCATTTAATCTAGCAGAGTCCCTCCCTATTTTTTCTTCATGATACCCTCTTGTTGAAGAAACAGGACCAGTTATACTCTAAAATATCCTACCTTCCAAATTTGTCAGACTTCTTCCTTGTGGTGCCACTTAGTTTCTTCCTCTATCCTCTGCATTTCCAGAAAACTGGAAGTTAGTTCTATAGGCCTGATGGATCAAGTTGAATATTTTTGGCCAGAATTACCAGAAGTGATGTGAACTTCCTATTTCATGAATGGTGCTAAGATTCATCATTGATTTAGGGTGGTGATGTTCTGATCTTGCCATTGTGAGGCGAAGTCATGTTACTTTGTCTTTATGCAAATGTCCGATCTCCTGAATGTTTTTTATAGCGATTCACAGTGCTTGCCAGAGTCCATAATTTCTTTAGATGTTGTGGAATGAGAATTCTTGCTGTTATTATGAGTTGGCATACTTCTGTAAAGAACTTTGCCTCATTTTCCTGTATATCCTGAAATAGCCCTTCTGTTGAGAGAGGCAGATTCCAGACTCAAGTTTTTGGTTAGGTTACCAAGTTTTGAATAAAGAATTGCTTCAGTAGTCTCCAATGGTGATACATTTTCTGGCTTTCTCATTGAATACTGAAATGAACTCAACAATTTTCATCAATTCCATGTGTTTTGAGTCACTTTAATTATTCTTGTTGCTACTCACGTTGCCACAGCATTGGCGAGTGGACATCCCTTCAAGATGTTTCTTTTGCTTTTTTAATACAGCCCATGTATATTTCAAAGCTGCCTTGCTTTCTGCCATCACTCGATATTTCAGGCCCACTTTGTACCTCTCCTTACCAGATACCTGAAATCCACCATTTCTCTATGGAGAAAATTTAGGAGTTCATATTGATTTTTTTCAAATCAGTTTTTACATTGCACTATTTTTTATTTAATTTCTTTTATTTATAAATATCTTATCTCTTGCCACACCTGGGCTCAGTTGGTTGTGTGTCTGACTCTTAATTTCGGCTCAGGTCATGATCCCAGGGTTGTGGGAATGAGCCTTGCACAAGGTTCTGTGCTGAGCCGGGAGCCTACTTGGGACTCTCTCACTCTCTCTCCTCTCTCTCTCTCTCTACTCCTCCTCCCCTGCTTGTGCATGCTCTCTCTCTCTCTCTCTCTCTTTTTCTCTCTCTCAAAACAAGTAAGTACCTCTTCTCTTCCACCGAAAAATGTTTACTTGCTTTATTCTGCAATATAAAGAAAATATAACTTTAAACTAAATTCAGTTTTACAGATCTGGTAACTGAGGCTTTTGGAAGAACCTAACTGAATATTACACCACACAAAAGAACACACTCTTGTCTTTCCAATTCCATTGGCAAAAAAAGCTGTTCCTAACCTTAATAAGCTATTGTTATTATCTGAGCCTTATGTTTTAGTATATTTGATCTGTGGAAAAAAATTATACCCTGAAAAAATTATAGAGTGGTAAGATACAGCCTTGGGTTTTTGTTTTTGTTTTGTTTTTTTAAGTTTATTTGGAGAGAGAAAAAGAGTGAGTGGGGGAGGGGCAGTGAGCGAGGGAGAGAGAGAATCCCAAGCAGGCTCCACGCTATCAGTGCAGAGCCGGACTCAAGGCTCAAACTTGCAAACTATGAGATCATGACCTGAGCCAAAACTAAGAAATGGAAGCTTAACTGACTGAGCCATTCAGGTGCTCCGTCTTAGGTCTTTGTATGGAGAGGTATAGCCACAGAACAAAATGTGTTACTCATCATGCGAAAAGATTACCGCGTGTTTCCTGGTCCTTTGAATGAGGTAGGACTATTTACACCGCAGTCAGTGGTACTGGGAACTCATTCCAGCCGGCACAGACTTTCTTTTCCTTGGTTTGTATACCTTTCTCTAGTCCCTCACAGTGTGGACGAGCTGTCAGAAGTGAGCCTGACTTTGACACCAAACCTCCCACCCTCTTTGCATGGCGCCAGCCTCTAGGTGTGTGACGAATCATTTTTATTTGCGTCCGCAGGTACCTGTTTGCTCTGCAGGTGAAGCAGGATCTGGCTCAAGGCAGGCTGACGTGCAATGATACCAGCGCGGCTCTCTTGATCTCACACATTGTACAATGTAAGTCCTGTTGGTTTCTCGATGAAGTCACGTTGGCAGTAACGGTGATCTGGTCAATGGGGGAAAATAATCACATCCACGAAAAACAATAATTCTGTCTTTTTGTTATTATGTTATATGAGTACCCATGGATTGAAAACAATAGCCCTAAAGCGTCATTTAACAGGTGTAGCCCCCCAAACACTGGCCTGTGAATTCTGTGTCCTTTTCAAGGACTAGTGTGCTCTTGTTGATATCTCCGTTGATGCAGAGAAGAAGCTTGGACAGATGGTGGTCAAGTAAACTAAACTTGTTCGGTCCTGTTCTTGGATTTAATATTCATTATTGAATATGGTACATTAGCCTTAAGACATAAACCTGTCAAAGATGACACTTCTTGTATTCTGCTGTCTCAAGTTTAGTAAACCCCAAGACACAGGAAGCTGGAATCCTAGTGATGCTTGAAACTAGATATTTTGCTTCCTTAATCTAGGCAAAGGATAAGTTAGATTGTACTCATTCTAAGGCATATTGACAACCCAGCTGGGCATTTTTTTTTTCTTCTTGGCCAAGGCAGAAGTAACTTGTTGAAGTTACTTGAAATCGAATATGCACATTATGTTTCAAGAAGATGATTATGTCACACGTATTAGCGCTAGTATAAAAAAATTGTGCTGTCGTTATCATTTTACAATTTCCGTTGTATCCAAAGCAGTCCCATATGATCAGCCCATTTGGATAACCGTCCAGTTAACATGATTTCCAAAGGTTCGTAGGAAGTGTCACTCCTAGTGGTCAATAAATTACTTAGCCTAATAGGATTAGGTGTTTCTAGAGACCATGCTTATCTTCTTATTTTTTGTGTATGAGTCTTACTGAAGATCTACCGGACTTAGGAAGTAATGTTATTGATTCGCCACGGCAGCAAGAAGCTAGAGCCATCGATTCTTCCACTGGCCCAGCTGGAACCAGATGAGTTGGCGCTCTTCAGTGCAGAGCAAATATTCTCGGTGCTTGCGATTTATAGCAACATGTAGGCCATATCCTGCATGATGAGTGGAGGTGTATTGCCCAAAGTGTGACAGGCTGCTTCACATGACAAAACGAAGGGGAGATGTCATAACAACCATTCACTCACTTTTACTCAAAACAGCTGGGCTCTCTGGTTGTTACACAGACCATAGGATTCAAAGAAAATGACATGCTGTCCCAGAGGTATTAAATTGATATAAACGGAGCTGGAGCTAGTGTTGTTAAGGTATAATTATTACTTTAAAGGTCTTTTCTTTAGATTTCCAGATCATAGCAATTTAGGGACTATGCAGAGGTTACATGAGAAAAATGGGCCTCCTGTTCCTTGTAGGTGAGAAATTTGTAAGAGGCTGCCATCTGACCAGCCATTTCTGGCACTAGGACTGCAAGATACTTCATAAACTTTAATTATTTTATTTTACCAAATTATATTATGTATGTTTATACCTATCTACCATTGGCTTTTCTCTACATGGTAAAGCATTTGGGGTTTGCAGTAATAATTATTATCTACAAGAGTTTCGAAGTTGATTTTTTAAAGTCCAAAAATGCTGTGCTTATTTAGAAGTCGTAAGGTCATGGTCCACATGTCTAGAATTGACTGCCTAGAACAGAAGTGGTCCCAGTGGGGTGGGGAGGAAGAAACAAATCAGGAACATGGATGGATGAAATTGGTTGATGCCAAAGTTTTCTTTCCAACTGGTAGAGACGAGAGTGGAGACCATCCTGTTACGTTGGCACGATTGTTAAATCCATATTCACAGGGTACTTTCTGACATCCAGCCCTTGTGATACCCACAGGCTGGGATCGCCTTGTCCTCTGCCTTCTGGTTTGCTGGCCAGAGAATGTTGCCCGAGGAACGTAACAGACTGTGAAGTATTAATTGTATGTGGCTGGGTTTTCTTTCTCTGTTTCCTGGTAGCCGAGATTGGGGATTTCGATGAAGCATCAGACAGAGAGCATTTAGCAAAAAACAAGTACATACCTCAGCAAGATGCGCTAGAAGACAAAATCGTGGAGTATCACCATAACCACATGTAAGTCCCACTGGTCACTTCATGTTTCCCTTGAGCTTCTCTCTGTCCTTCCAGCATAGGTGGGTGTAGACACACACACACACACACACACACACGGTAACTGTTGGGAAGAAAGACGGAAGGTGTGAGGGAGAAGAGCACAAAGGTTCATGGGGGCCATTGTTCCTCACCTAGGACTCTCAATGCAGGTTCCCTGCTCAAGACCAAAGTTCTAGGATCCTTGCTTGATTTCCTGTGATACTGGGGTATGTCTGGAATTGAGGATACCCATGCTTTGGAATTAAAGGGAGAGTGTAAGACCAGTTAATAGGAAATCAGAAAAGGGACATGGTAAACTAGGGGCAAAGTAGGAATGTCATGAAAATCTAGCACCTTTGTATCCTCTCCATTTTTTTGTTTTGATCAGTAAAATATTTTCAAAAGATGCCCCGTGCCTATTGATTTTGTTGCTGTTTTCAAGGAGGGCACTTGAGCCCTGGTGATAGTATGCCAGAGTGTTGCCTTGAACTTCCCTTACAAGTTTAGGCCCATTGTCAGCGACTAAAAACGTGTTTGAACACAATGGCGTTTTGCTTTTATATGACCTTAAAGGAAACTCTTTGAGATTCCAAAAAAAAAAAAAAAAAAAAAAAAAAAAAAAAAAACTGGGCAAATGTGAGACAGACTTTTGGGGTGTTGTGTTACACAGGCAATAGGGCTTTTGTCCTAGCTGCTCGACTTTGGGTTGCAATGAATGGGAGGCTGGGTGTCATCTGATCAGGTAGCTCCATTGTTTGTGATGAAATGCCTTTTTATTTCCCAAGAGGAGTTGCCTAATCTCAAATTAATAGACACAGGCAATTCAAATCACCTGGACTTTCTCTTTGATTTTTGTTTTGTCAGCGGACAAACACCAGCAGAATCAGATTTCCAACTTCTGGAGATTGCCCGTAGGCTGGAGATGTATGGGGTCCGGTTGCACCCGGCTAAGGACAGGGAAGGTACGAAGATCAACCTGGCTGTTGCCAACACGGGAATTCTAGTGTTTCAGGTAAGAGCACTTAGAACACAGCTCAGTTCCCCTGGTGATGGAAAGATAAGAGTTGGCCCTTCAACTCTGATTGCGCGTTGGGTGGGCCAAGTTAAGACCTCTGATGGTTAATTTTAGGTGAACAGGGAGAAACTAACCTCACCTTAGGGTTTCTATTTCTTTCTAGGCCCTCCACTTCCAGATTCTACTTCATTTGCCCTTGCTCTGGTTGGGAAATGCACAAAGATTTGCTTGTGTTTATTGACTTGGTAATCCCTGTCAGTGGACCTGTGCTCAAAACACAGTATAATAGAATCAGGATTTCAGACCCCCCAAAATAAACACTTTCTTCACACTGGCACATGATAGGCATGTGGTTCCCCCCTCTCTTTTTTAACCTGTTGAGTTTTTTTTTTAACCAAATTTAGGGATTCTTAAACCTAATTTAGGTTTTACCTACGTCAGCTTATTTGTGACTTCAGATATACATGCTTGAAAAGGGTAATGTGTACTTTTAAAGATACAGCAGTTTTATAAATTTCTACAAAGCCACGTAGTATAGTAACTTTGTAGTAAAACGAATTCGTACGTGTGTTTTACTTAAGGACATAATTTTCTGTACTCTGAAATGTGTACTGTCTTTTTTTAAAGTTTTAAAATATTTTTTTAATGTTTATGAGAGAGGGAGTGAGAGAGCGCACGCTCACATGCATGAGTCGAGGAGGGGCAGAGGGGCTGGGGACACAAAATCCGAAGCAGGCTCCAGGCTGTCATCACAGAGCCTGACGCGGGGCTCAAACTCATGAACCATGAGATCGTGACCTAAGCCAGAGTCCAACGCTTAACCGACTGAGACACCCAGGCTCCCCATGAAATGTATGCTCTCTTGGTTGCACTGTTAGATTCTTCTACTGACAGTGCTTCTTTTTGTTTCTTAACAGCTTCTTTGAGGTGTTATTGACATAGAGTAAAATGCACATATTTAAAGTGTGCAGTTTCATAAGTTCTTGTATATGTATATCCTGAAGCAATCAATGAAATCAAGACAATGAACATATTCATCACCCCCAAAAGTGTCCTCAATGCTTTTCTTTTAAACAAAGTCGAGAGTAATCCATGCTTTGGTTTCATAGGGGTATGGAGAAAGTGTCTGCCTTTAAGTAGGGTAATCTTCACCAGTTTGGAAGGCATAGATATGCACACAATCTAAAACATTTTGGCTTATATTTGGTTTTGGTTATATTGTCCCTTCGTGTTTTACCAAATTGGTCTCAGTGCTTCTCTGCTCCTGTATCAGATGTTTATGGTGGACACTGATTATCATAGGATCCTGTCCCAGGAGGAGTCGAGGTTGGGTTTCATATGGGAGAGTAAGAAGGGAATGTTTGAAAGCAGTGTACGATACTTGAGGTAGCTTAACAATTGCTCTTAACAATTTCTGAACTGCCAAAATAACATAGGAGTACTTGATGAGCAAAATGACAATAAGCCAAATGTAAAGCTTTCAGTCCTACCGTTAAATTTTGAAATCAGAACCCTTAAGCATTTTTAAAAATCATAGAGGGGGGGGGAAAAGAAGTGCCTCACAATTGAATTAACGTGCTTTGATTATATTTGATACAATCTAAATATTGAGAATTACGCAGTAATTTAATCGTGTACCAAGGCCGTATCTTGGAATTAATCTTGCCAGTGCCTAATTGCTTCATTCTTACCAATTTCAATACATGGTCCTGGTGTTTCAGCAGCTCTGGAGGAATTCTAATTTAGGCGGAGATGACAGGACAGATGGGAGCTGGTGTCTGGTCGCTTCCCCTTACTTCTCCATCACCCTGTTCCTCACAGGAACAGGGACACAGGAACACCCTGTTCCATCACACCTGACTTTCAGAACGAGGATGTGTGAGTCCTTCCCAGAGACTGTTCTCTGGTCTAGAAGACAAACCACAGGCCGGGACTCCCTTCCCCATCCTGCTTGTGCTGCTGGGAGCCAGACCAGTGTGCACCTTGGGGGTTGACCACCAGCCTGGTGTGTTGCTTTTATGGAAATTAACAGTCGCTGCTGGTGAAGGCACATGGTGGGGCACCTCATTCTGCCACGTGAGCTGTGTGATTTTGGACAAATTAAAATAAATTCATGCAGCAGTTTCCACATCTGTGAAAGAGAGATAACAAACCCATCTCACTGGGTTTTGTATAAGGTTTGGTAAGATAAGGTCTGTAAAGTCCTTCCCCTGGCACTGGAAAGTGATGGTCACTAATTGTTGTGGTTGCCATGGTTTTTATTGTTATTTATCTTTCTTAGCATCCTGCCTTTGGCCAGCCGCTTCCCTCCCTGGAGGCAACCTTAGTTTGAATACCAAAGCATATAATTAGTGAAAGATAATGTTCCTGGAACAGGCATCATCCACAGCTGCAAATCCTAGCAAATTCTCTAGCAAAAGGCATTCTTCCCAAGCAGTCAAAAGCAGGTCCCTATATGCAAGGCAAACCACCTCCCATGTTGCTTCTTCTGCGTTTCCTGGCTCACTGGCTGATCCCTTCCTTTGCAGGGTTTCACCAAGATCAACGCCTTCAACTGGGCGAAAGTGCGCAAGCTGAGCTTCAAGAGGAAGCGCTTTCTCATCAAGCTCCGCCCAGACGCAAACGTAAGTGGGCGGGGCGGAATGACGCCTGGCAGGTGTCTGAGGGTCTGTACCGAGTGTCCTGCCCAGACGCTCAATCACCGTGCTGTCACCTGGGTAGACACAGCGAGGGTAGAGAATGTTCAGCCCCTCCCGACAAACCCATGCCTTTGCTGGGCTCCAGCCTCCAGGCCATCCCCTAGAGACCCCGTTCAGCATCCGCAGTATTCGGGGCGCACCCCTGGCCGCACAAGCCTCCAGCTCTCCCCAGCCCTCGCGTCCCTACTCTTGTCCCCTGACCTCTGACAGCACATTCTCGCAAGCTAAGCAGGTCCACCCCATTTTCTGGAGAACCCCTGAGGATGTCGCTCACCCCAGGACCGGATCAGAGAAGGAGCGTCTCCTTCCCCCCGCGGGAAATGGCAATGGCGGAGATGGCTGATTCATCCTGGTGTCCCCAACCAGAACTTGGCAGAGTTTAGTTCCCGTGGGAAAAAAAGATGATAAATGGCAGTCTAACCTTACCGTTCAGCTACCGAATGGATTAAATGAGCTTTTATGGCCTGACCTAGGAAGCAACCACCCATTATAAGTTGTTTTCTATGGGAAAATGCTTTTGGAGTTCTAAAAGGCCACTTGCAAATGCAGAATTGCCTCAGCTTGTTTGTAAGTTGGGTCTGCCCAGAACTGTGAGATTACCCCCAAAAGAGTTGGAAGTTCTGGGAACCGTTAAGGCTGTAGTAATTCCTGTTTATATAATAGGGCCACTTATATTGAGAGCATTCAGCCTGGGAATACAAAATTACACTCTCCCCTTTCCAGAATCAAAGGACATGACTTTTTCAGCCTTGAGTGATACTTTTGTGTTCCAGAAAAAAAAATGTTCATTTCCTGTGGGGTTCCCTGGAGGTTTGAGCCATATGCTACTTGACAGAGAAGAGACTTAAGACCAGTGTGTAAAGTCGGCATGAGCCGTGAGGGAGAAAACAGAAGAGTGTGTTTCAGTTATTTTAAGGAGGCAAAACAGGAATTTCAGTAGTTGGATTTTTTTTAAGAAGGAAATATGGGGGTGCGTGGGTGGCTCAGTCAGTTGAACATCCAACTCTTGGTTTCAGCTCAGGTCATGATCTCATGGTTCATGGGATGAAGCCCCACATTGGGCTCTGCACTGACAGTGTGGAGTGTGCTTTGGGTTCTCTCTCTCTCTCTCTCTCTCTCTCTCTCTGTCCCTTCCCAGCTTGTGGTCACTATCCATCTCTCTCAAAGTAAATAAACTAAAAAGAGGAGGAGGAGGAAATATAAGCCACGTAAACAAAATTTGTTCGTGAATTCTGTCACAAGAAATGTTAGGAGGGGCCCCTGGGTGGCTCAGTCGGTTGAGCGACCGACTTCGGCTCAGGTCATGATCTCACAGTTCATGAGTTGAGCCCCGCATCGGGCTCTGTGCTGACAGCTCAGAGCCTGGAGCCCGCTTCGGATTCTGTGTCCCCCTCTCTCTCTCTGCCCCATCCCCACTCATGCTCTGTCTTTCTCTGTCTTAAAAATAAATAAAAAATAAAATAAAATAAAAAATAAAAAAAAAATGTTAGGAGTTCTGTGAATTACCCCTGTTTTCTGTTAGCTCCTCTAAGGAATTTTGTGAGGGGAAAATGGTTGAATGATGACTAGATTTTGTCATTAGGAACAACTCTATTTTACTAACTATGTGAATTTGTGATCGTGCTATAATAAAATGCACCAGTGAAATTTTATTGGACATACTTCTTTTCTGGCCCTTTTCTCATGTTTCAACCTGATGTCTGTGGGTCAAGGGGGAAAAAATGGTATTTTCTCTTTTTAGAGCTCGTACCAGGATACCTTGGAATTTCTGATGGCCAGTCGGGATTTTTGCAAGTCGTTCTGGAAAATCTGTGTTGAACATCATGCCTTTTTTAGACTTTTTGAAGAGCCCAAACCAAAGCCAAAGCCTGTTCTCTTTAGTCGAGGCTCATCATTCCGGTTCAGGTAAGGATTCCATAGCATACCTCTCGTGTCCGCCACGGGAGCATTTGTCCCGAGACGTCCTTCTCCTACCCTCTGGTGCTGCTGCTACACAGTACAGTGGGGAGCTAAGTGGAAAGTTGGCCTCCGGGAGCTATGGCTGGTGGGGTGATTGCTCGGTCATTCCAGCAGCCTCCTGGCATGACCAGGAGGTCATGTTCTGCTCGAACATTGGCCAAGAGGCCCTTCACCCCGCCACAGTAAACTCCAAACAGGACCCTTTAATTCAGGAGGATTCCCTTTCTCTGGAGAAGCAAGTGTCTTGTTAACATTTCGTGTAGCCTTCGGGAATGTTGTGTGCACTTGCCCAGCACTGCTTCACTTTCTCCCTCTTTCAACAAACATTTGAGTGTTTCCTGCGTATCAAATCCTGTTCTAAGCACTGGGGATATACAGTGAACAAAATTAGCCCTGTGTCCTCGAAGCATGTAGACTCTTGCTCAGGATGGTGGCTTCGTAATCAAACAGAATTATTTATAAGGAAAATGCCAAGAAATGCAATGGACACACATTTTTCTCAGAGAAACACAAGTTCCTCCCAGAACTGCAGCTGAGAAAGCCCACCTATCTCCCAGTTGTGGAAGGAGGGGAGGTAGAGATGGGGTGTTGTGTGTTTCAATGAGAATCCCTTGCCGTCTCCTTTCCTTCCCTCCCTCTCGTTGTCTTCCCCTTAGCGGTCGGACTCAGAAGCAGGTTCTCGACTTTGTTAAAGAAGGAGGACATAAGAAAGTGCAGTTTGAAAGGTAAGAGAAACTTCGATGCTACTTCGACTTGACAAGAGTCATCGTCTGCAGGTGACAGTGCTTTGCTCCTGACTGTCTCTTCACCCAGGCCTGGTGAATTACCATATCAGGGCCTCACAGTCAACCTGGGCCAGTTTAGTGTTAGGAACATTCGAGGGCTGGGGCACACCTCAAGGATAAGATGAAATGTAAACAGACCAGGAGGGCCAAGTGAGGAAGAGGAGGAAACCAGCAGGGGATGGGATGGAAGAGAAACAGGAAGGAGATTGCAGTGGGGCTAAAGCACAGTAAAAACTTCCTCCTCTCTTTGTCCTTGAGTGTCTTGGGATTTGAATCAAAAGTATTTCTATAAACTTTTAAATTAAATACAGCTTGGATGAGAAGCAGGATTTATTGCTGTTGTTAGCAAATGCTTACAGCTCTTGCTGAGTTCCACGCACTTTGCATACATTAACTCAGTCTTCATACCAGCTCTGTGAGGTCAGTGCTCTCCTAGTCCCTTTTTTTAAATGTTTATTTATTTTTGAGAGAAAGAGGTTGTGGGCAGGGGAGGAACAGAGAGAGGGGGAGACTGAGAATCCAAAGCAGGCTCCGTATTGTCAGTGCACAGCCCGACGCGCGTCCCGAACTCCTGAACCGTGAGATCATGACCTGAGCAGAAACTGAGACTCAGATGTTTAACTGACTGAGCCACCCAGGTGCCCCTCTCCTGGTCCCTTTATAAAGATGGAGACACTGAAGCTCAAAGAACTCAGGTCTCAGAACTGACAAGTGGCCCCTGGTCAACCAGCATCAAAGCCCCATGCCCTGAGCAAGGCTCTGTCGCCAGAGAGGGGAGAAGGTGAGAATCCAGAGATTAAAATAAAAGGGTAATTGGGACACCTGGGTGGCTTAATCGGTTAAGCCTCTGACTTCAGCTCAGGTCATGATCTGATGGTTTGTGAGTTCGAGCCCCGTGTCGGGTTCTGTGCTGACAGCTCAGCGCCTGGAACCTGCTTCGGATTCTGTTTGTCCCTCTCTGTGCCTCCCCTGCTCACACACTGTCTCTTAGTGTCTCTCAAAAATAAATAAACATCAAAACAATTTGTTTTTAATAGAAGGGTAAAAGGGTGGAGCTGTGGTGCACTGAGGGCTGTTTGGTGCATGTGCATTTTTTAAAAACATTTTTGTATTTTAACATATCTTAAAATAACTGTGAAGTACAGAGATCACAGCAAACGTCCATATTTCTTTCTGTTTCTGGTTTTTTGTTTTGTTTTGTTTTTGTCTTTGTTTTTACCTTTTTGTGTGAAATTACTGTTATGACAGATATGGCTAAAACCGCCTTAACGAACAGCCACCTTTGTTACTTCCCTTCTCTCCTTCCCAGAGGCAACAACTGCCAACTTCACATTGTTTCTTTTACACATATTTATGCATTTAAAAAAAAATATGCAGCATTTCTCTCGGGTGTACTTTTTCATTGATTTAACTAGTATCGCACTGTACATAATTCTGCATCTTGCTTTTTTTTTTAATGTTTATTTATTTTTGAAGAGAGACAGAGCATGAGTGGGAGAGGGGCAGAGAGAGAGGGAGACATAGAATTCGAAGCAGGCTCCAGGCTCTGAGCTGTCAGCACAGAGTCCAACGTTGGACTCAAACTCATGAACCGTGAGGTTATGACCTGAGCCAAAGTCAGACGCTTAACTGACTGAGACACCCAGCATCCTGCTTTTTAAACCCTGACCTGATTTGGAGATCTGTGTTGATGTTCTTCGGTATTGTGAAAGTATTTCATTTTATTTATCTGATTTTCTGTTGATAAACAAACCTGAATGTTGGTATTTTGTTTCACTCTGGCTGAAACAAACCTGCTGCTGTGACCATCCTTGTGTTTTTGGAGTCTTTTGAAGAAAAGCTGAATGTACATTAGCATTTAATCCCTCTGTGTTTATAGTTTCATCATTTGAGTACCTGAAAATTTCTAAGGCCTGTTCACGGAGGAAAAGGAGGGCACTCAGAGACTAAGGGAGGGAACAGATAAAGGAGAGTGTTAGTGGCATGAAAGCCAGTTCCTGGTCCTGTTGAATCTGTAAATTCATTCATGGGGCAGGCCTTCTGTGAACTCAACACTGGGAAAAAGTTAGCTGATGAGTAGTAGTCACCTCTGTTATAGAACTAATCTAGAAAATCATTGCCCAGAATACATGAATTGCTTTCATATTGTCAGGCCAGAATTTGCAATTCAGAGCATACTCAGCCCAGCCAACTCTCCCTCCCAGTGACTCTCCTACAACTAGAAAGGTAATGCTCAATGGCTAGTGTTCCTGACCAGCTGTACCACTTGAACAGGAGCAGGGGATTGCTGAGAGTGTTTTCAGGGTTTAAGTATACCCTGAACCCTGTAAGTGCTATGAAAAGGATGACTGTTTCCAGGGAGCATCCATATACACTACTTCACTCGTCTTCATATTGAGGAAGGCATAAGACTGTTATTTTTCATTTAAGAAAACAGCTTTTCTCACTATGGCTATCTTACGTGATTTCTCCCAGGAAACATAGCAAGATCCAGTCCATCAGAAGCCTTGCTACACAGCCCATGGAGCCGAATTCAGAAGTGCCAAAACAAGTCAGTAATGCTGATCAACTATTATAACTGTGTTTTTGTTTTGTTTTGTTTTGTTTTACCAAACTTTCTCTGCTAAGTCCTAAGTCCTGTGTTTCATAGTATGCTTCTGAGTTATTTGCCCCTCACCTTTGGGGTTTCTTTTAGTAGAGGAGAGTATAGTTGTGTGCCCTGGCTTTGAGCAAACACAGGCTGTGCTCTGTGCACCCCAGGCTGGGCTCCGCAGGCCCTAGACTGGGTCCTTTTTCAGCTGAGTTCCTGTCCTCCATCCCATGCCTTTGCCCAGAGAAGTTTGCTCTGTTGGCCCTATCTCAGCTTAGGAGTGGAACCATCCATGGGAGTCTACAGAGAGGAGCTCACCTGCCAGCAAAATGTGTGTGGAGAGATTGGGACCTCCCTAGCACCTGATGGGTGTCGCTCCCATCTTCAGGGCCAACCTCAGATCTCTTTATTGGCACAAGACTGGGTGGTGAGTTCCCAGGGCTCCTGTTACGGGGCAGTGACCACAGTTGGCAACAAGAGACATTATCACTCTTGCCCTGAGGGTGGTGAGAGCTCGTTTTCTCTCGAATTGGCCTGTGCTTGTGCTTTCAGGGTTTTCTCTACAAGAGAATAAGAACTTTGTTGGGGAAGAACATGAAGATTTCCTTTGTGCACCTAAAAATAGAGTGCTTAACCTGCCTGTTCCTCCCTTGGAAGTATAAACAAAGACTTTTTTGTCATTTGTCTGAAATCCATGTCAACTTGCCTTTCGGGGATCTGCGATGTGTTTTCTTCCTCACCCCGCCCAACCCTCCCTGTGGGTTGCAAGGAGACTCTGTTGCTCCACGGAAACTTTGGAAAGCCAGTATGAGCCCGTGGGTCCTAGAGAGCAGAGGCTGTGGCCCACTTGGCCTGCTCGGGACCGTGCATGGTCAGAGAACGGTCTGGATGCTGACCAAACACACTGGGGAGCGCCGGCTCATTGGCGGTGTTCTGTTCGAGCCCTGTGGAGGGCAGCCTCTCGGCCCGCTTGTTGCTAAATTGGGCTCTGGCAGCCCCGCCCCTCCACCACCGTGTAACCTTCCCCCTTTCTCGCCCCGCCCCGCGCAGGCGCAGCAGAGTGCCAGCCTTCCGCCCGGAGAAGGTGCGGAGCCCGCAGGTGGCGCGGGCGGTCAGCAGGGAGCGGAGCCGAGCGCTGCTGCCGAAGAGCGCCAGAGCCCCGCGCCGCCCAGGAGCCCCGCGGGCGGCGGGAAGGCGGACGGAGCCCCGCGGGCGCCGGCCGACGAAGAGGAGGAGGTCGTTAAGGATAGGACCCAGCAGAGTAAAGCTCAGCCCCCGCAGCCGAGCACAGGTCCAGCATCCAGGGCTGCCAGAGGCAGCAGCTCTTCCATTCCTTTCATTGACTGCAGTGACGTAGATAGTGAATCCGACCTGCTCAGGGAGCAAGCGTCCCAGTCCCAGTCCCAAACAAATGACAATTATGAGGGTGATTTGACCAGTGGGGTGTATCTGCTCTCCGGGGATGAGAGGCGGACAGAGGCTAGGCGCAGGGCTTCCCCTCCCTCCGTGAAGTCCTCCCGGCCTCCTTCCAGAGAGTTCGTCGATGATGATTCAGCAGACCTAACCTTTGATATGAGTGGGAGCCCCAGACTCCCAAGACATAGCTCCCTGATAGATGAGCTGTTCAGGGGCTCCGGCGGTCGCAGTCCCCCCACCACCCCATTGTCTCCCAGTAGCAGACGGTCGAGTCCAAGTAGGAGTTGGGACAGGACTGGGTCTCAAGGCTATGTTTCTGAAAACGGGCATGACCCAAGAGAGGAGAGTACAGGAGAAGGTCCTCTCCCAAGCCAGGGTCCTCCTTATGAAAACTCTTCCCCCGTCCTGCAAAGGCCATACTTGCGGAATTTTCCCAGTCGCTACAATAAGTCAGAGACAGATCCCCTCATCCTTAGCCAGGTAGCATCAACCCCAGAAGCAATGGGTGGGCTTGATGGCCGTGAAAAGGGAGGACTGGCCAGCCTGGCTGCTTCAGAAGGTAGAATGCTGGCTAATGGTGCACCTCAGGTGGGCCCCACCTCAAAGATCCCTGTTGTGCGGTCAGTGTGTGCCAGAGGCATGGCAGACCAGCGGGCGCCCCTGCAGGTGACTGAGGGCTCCACCAGCAGCGGGACTGAATCCAGCGATTCAGACTCTGAAATGGTGGCCCATTTGAGCCAGCCACTCACATTTGGCAACCCAGCAGCAGTGCTGAGCTCCCCTTCCATGCTTAGTAGTAAGAAGCCCCTGGGTGGCCTACATGTGAGTGAGGAGGAAGAAGAGGGGGATGAGTAGAGGGCCAGACTTCCAAGTGTTGGGAACGTGGAATCTTGAGTCCAGGTTTCCAGTGGAGATTATTTGTTCTAGTGGCTCATTAATCTTTAATCAACATTTGTTAGAGGAAGTTTTGGACAGAAACCTTTGGATAGGGTATGCCCGACTCTCAAATCTTGAAGAAAAATGAAACTTCACACAGTGGCTTGCTCTCCAAAAAAGGTGGACAAGAGAAATAGTTAAGAAGGACAGGTTACCAGGACCTTGTTTATCTTTCTGATTGAAGGCTAGGAAGAGATACTTGATTATGGATCTGATCATGTGTATAGTGTGTCGTTATTTATGTGGAAATTTTCTGTGTATGTTGAGTTTGTATGCAGATCACGCTGCTGTTGATTGAATGTTTGGACTGAGGTATTGAGATCCCAGGAAAGGTGTTGGTTTTACTTTGTTCCCCTTCTTTAAAAGGAGGTGCTGCTTTTCTGAGCCTTAGAAAATGAGGGATTGACAAAATTCAAGACCAAATGTAAGTTGATTGCTGGTTGAGATTAAGTGTTGGTGAAATCTTAGTCAAGAATAATGGATATTTTAATAGGAAGAATTTGGAGTTATTTCTTCTTTCCAGATTTCATGTGAAACAATGTAAAAGATGTCAATTATAGTGGAACTGTAATTTACAAGGGATTGCTGGTCTGGTTTGGGTTTGCATCCTGGGTCAAATCGTTAGCTGTGCTTTAAGAAGCTATAACTCTGGCTGTCAGAACTTCTAATTGAAACACAGAAATGCTATTGAGTGGGGATTCGGGGCAAAGTAAGACCTCACAAAAGGCACTGTTGTCACCAGGCTGGCAAACTAAAGGCCCTCTTTTGAATCATGAGCAGCATAGAGAAGAACCATTTTCCACAATTGCTGCCCCTTGGTTATTGTGTACATTCTTAACGTTCACACTTGTGTGAACAGGGTCTTCTCTTGGAAGCAGTGACTTCTAGATGTTTCTGTGTGCAGGAAAAAAGTGTAAGGAGTGAGAGGTTTGATTTCTTTTTAAATCTTGCCCACCTCTGCCCGTGCCTTTCACTCAGCACTCCTGCATTGTAGATCAAAGGGTCTCAGCTGCACATGGGAATCACCTGCGACATTTTAAAAATCAGTGATGCCTGGGCCCTGACCTTAGAAATTTTTTATCTCATTGGTCTGGGGTGCCACCTGGGGTCCCCAGATGGTTCTGCTGGACAGTCAGGGTCACCCCTCAGCCTGACACAGTTGCCTTCTAGAATCTAGTGGAATAAATTTCTGGCTGGCTTGCAGAGTAAGGAAAGCATCACACATGAAATACTTTAATTAGTGCCTGTTGTTTGGTACTTTTCAGTCTTTGGTACTTTTTTTAAGAAGATGACTTGTAGAATCAAATTTTTAGATCCTAAGCAACTACCAAATTATTGGAAAGAGTTCTAACAATGACACATCCCTGGCGTGCCACCATGCCTATGGCCTTACTAAACTCATCGTGTGATGTTATCACAAGGGAAGAGCTACTACGCATGCTTAGGAAGTGGGGTAGAATTTGGCAGCCATATGCAACAAATACAAGTATTGACTGACCTTGTGGCTCACAAATGATTA